GACATCCAATTCTGTACGTGAGGCCATACCTGTTTTTGGCCTAAGGGGAGCCATGTTGATTGTGTGCTTGACCAGCACTCTGAGTATCGCAGTCCCCCCTCTAGTGGTGATGTAGCGGTATTAACACCATGTTCTCTTTTTAGTTGTCTTCTTGTTAGTGGAGGACAAGATGAGGCCTTTGGGAGGCAAGTGTTGTTTCCTGCTCCTGTTGCTGGTGGCCGAATTGCTGCCCGGATCCTCCGGCGGCAACAACCCCCGCTACGAGAAGTTCCTGAACCAGCACCGGGACGATCCCAGGAGCAGTTTCCACGGCCGGTACTGTGACGGCCTGATGCGCAGCCGGGGCCTCACCAAACCCGAGTGCAAGGAAGCGAACACCTTTATCCATGGCTCCAAGAGGCGGATCCGGGCAGTGTGCGGCCAGGGGGGGGTTCCCAGCGGGCAGCTGCAGCGCAGCCGGCAGCCGTTCCGGGTTACCACCTGCACCCTGAGGGGCGGCTCCACCCGCCCGCCCTGTGAGTACAAGGAGAATACCTCGCCCAGGTACATTGTCATCGGCTGTGAAGACGGCTGGCCCGTCCATTACGATGAGAGCCAGATCGTGACCACTGTCTGAAGCCAAGGAGAAGAATCGTGTGGCTTAAACCAATGGCACGGCCTCCCTGTGGCATTCAGCATCGTCTGGGGGGGGGTTTAAACCTTCCTGGGTAGCTATGGCTTCTTTTCCTCACCGGGGATTCCCTGTAACCCTTCCCCTCCTCTTCTTTTGCTATCAGAATCAGGATCCTGAGCACGCTGCCTTTCTCACCTGTGAAGAGACGGTTTGTGTAAATCGAGAACATAATAAAATTTGCAAAGCTTTATGGTATTCTTGTACATGTCAGTGTGACTGTGTTTGGTTGCCCAGGACTGAAAGGGAAAAAAATAATGTTTTAAGAAAAGCAGAAAAGATGTTTCCGTGTTGGTCTGCACTAGAAGAGCCAGATTCATCCGGAAGCACAAAGCTTTCAGGGTATAAACGTTTAAGAGTCAAAGCTCCCTTCATCAGATAGGTAATTTTGACACTCCAAAGTTCGTAACCCGGAAAATCTTTTCCGTCTCTAAGGTGGCACTGGACTTGAACCTGGCTGTTCTAAGGAGAAGGAGCACATGAACAAACACGTGCTCCAGTCAGTGTTCTCTCTAAGCTGAGTGTGAGCTAGCTCACAGCTATTTAGCCTCCACAGGAAGTGCCACAGGAAGTGGTGGCAGCTACAAGCATGGACGGCTTCAAAAGGGAATTAGTCTTCCGAGGCTACCTTGTGAGCAGTGTTCCCTCTAAGCTGAGTTAGTGTGAGCTAGCTCACAGTTTTTTAGCCTCCAGCTCACAGATTTTTGTCTTAGCTCAGGAAGGACGGCTCCCGAGCAAACTGATTTATGCAGTCCCCAAATCGCTCGCTCACAACTTTAAGGCCCGTAGCTCACAAACAGTGTTCCCTCTAAGCTGAGTTAGTGTGAGCTAGCTCACAGAATTTTAGCCTCCAGCTTACACATTTCTGTCTTAGCTCAGGGAGGAGGGCTCCAGAGCAAGCAAATTGATGCAGTAGCCAAATCACTCGCTCACAACTTTAATGCCAGCAGCTCACAAAGGAGAATTTTGCTCACAAGACTCCACAACTTAGAGGGAACATTGGTGTGGGGAGGTCTTTTTCTAAAGAGCTCTGTGGAGGTCTGCCACTAGGACCCAGTACTTTGTCTCCTAAAACGGTGTCCCGCTTTGTGCCATTCCCTCCAATCACCCCAACAACTAGCCTCCGGTGCCCCTAGACATGTGTGGGGAGGTCATTTTCTAAAGAGCTCTGTGGAGGTCTGCTACTAGGATAGTAGCTGGATTTTGTATGTCTGTTTTGTGCTGTGTCGCTATCTCCCAAATGTTAAGCTACTGTAGCACACCTGTTCAAGGAAACCGACTTTAATAATGGTTCTCAGGAGGGTGGCCAATTCCAGGTTGGGTGATTCTTTGTGATTTGGGAGGGCATGCCTGGGTAAGGAGGGGTTTGGGCACTCCAGCGGGGGTTATAATGCCATATCATCTGCCCTCTAGAGCAGGGGTGTCAAATATAAGACCTCGTCTGCAGCAGCCAAGCATCGTGGGAGCATCCGCCCAGTGCTGCACTGCTGCCTCTCCAGTTCACCTCTGTGGGTTTTCCTCTTGCACCCCCCTCCCAGCCCAGGGGGCCTTGCAGTGAGGATACACCCACTCAGAGCTTACCAGCTGCTGTCCTTTATACGGTTTCTATCACCGGTACCTGGCGTTACATTTTATGGCACACGTGGCCCGGCCCAACAAAGCGACGTTTATTTCAGATCCAGCCCTCGTAACAAATGAGTTTGACACCTCTGCTCTAAAGCAACCATTTTTCTCCAGGGGACCTGTTCTCTATAGTCTGGAGGCCAGTTGTAAGTCCAGGAGGTCTCCAGGCCTCACCTGGAGGTTGGCAACCATTGTTTTCAAATGGCCTTTCGCACTGAGCTGAATGATGGTTGAACAGTCAACTCCCCCTTGAAGAACAAAGACAAACAACTAGAAACAATACAGAACTAGTCCAAATACTCTGATGCGCAACAGCACCACCCACTCGTAGGAACCATACCACTGTGTCACGTTTTCCAAGCAAGACTAAAAATAACAATCCAACGCATAAAATCCTTGCCTGTGAAATGCTTGGTCTTTTCACTTAAATAATTCCATGTTGACGTGGGCATTTTTCACCCTCAGCATTTGGGTTGCTTTGCATGACCCGATCTCCTTCTTATGTGCTTTCTCACATTTCACAGAATAGAATCAACAAGATTTTTTTTCGTGCTGTTCTCTTAGTAGTGCTCTTACTGCTGTTAGTTTTCATTGCGTTTTCGTGGGCTTTTTTTTAAAAAAAAATTGCCTATAAACTTTATTGTACTCCACCCCAAGAGCCTCATAAAGTAGTGGAATATGGAAAGGGCTTAAACAAATAAATAGATTGCCATGGTGGCCTCCAGGAGCTGAATGAGGCCAAGGGGCAATTTGAAGGCCCGTACCAGGAGGTGAACTCCTGGGGGTGGGAAATGTCACAGCAGCAAAATTGCCCTCAAATTATCTTCCCTGGGGCACCAATGTAATCAGTTCTGCACCCTCTTGTGGCAGAAGTGGAGATTGCGTCTATGATAGCACTGGGTATGTTCACTGCACAAATGAATCCTAGAGTGGTCACTCCACCTTTACTGCTATATTCAGCCTTTCTCACTGGGACTCAAGGAGGATTACAGGAATTTGCTCAAGTAGCTGATCTACAGTTACTATGCCTGTTACCATCTTGGAGATACTTTCCCACTGCTATGAAAAGCTTGAGTGATAGAACTGGGGGGGGGGAGAGAAAGGGTCATGATGCCGGCAGAATCACATCTTGTGGAGATTACGATAGGGGGGAAAAAGCAAATCTGCGCCTTGAAGACTTGCAATCCAACAT